CAAAACGGAGTTATTTTAATAGCATTGTTACATAATGCATATATCTGTACTGTTTTAGTACCATGCTCAAATTTTTGCTGTAGTTGTGTTGAAGTTTTTTTCTTTAGTATTTACAGTAATGTGTTTTTTCCTGATTGCCACTCAATATTGGTGGCACTTGAAGCCACATATAAATGATAGTAGGGTTGCTGTGTTCTTCCCATCTTTGTAGGCCATTAATTTCCACATGAATAAAATGTTGCTTGTATTTTATGTCAACAATCACTTGAAATATTCAGTCAGAGAAAAGCAGGCATGATATTATTGTTGTGTATGTAGTGTTTTGAGTTTAGGTTCTGTCCCTTGAAGGTCTGTACAACAGTGGGGTGTAAATGCAATATGACAGACTTGCCCCATTGCCCACCATTTTGCCATGTTTTAGAATCGTACCTGTGTTAATTAATATAACTCATAGAGGAAAGCTCGTGGCTAAAAGCCAATACTGTAGTAGGTTAGAAGTGCAGTAGGCCTATTGAATCAGTGGAGATTTGGTGAATCAACTCTTCTGTAAGTTTCATTGTATCAGTGGGCCTACTCTAATTGAACTATAGTAGGTTTTGTAGTTATGTAGAAGGGAACTACTCACTCTCCAGCAATCTCTGTCAAGATTGTATCTACTTAAAAAGAAACTTAAGGGACATACCATATATTCCTCTCCTGAAATATTCTGGTTACCTCCTTTCCAAAGTTTTTTATTATAATTAAGAATACTATCTTTTAGTCTGTCTTAAAAGTTTAAACACACAAATAAAGGTTCTTGTAAACTGTCCTGGGAACCATTTGTCAAAAGATTATATATAAATTATAGAATAAACAAATGTACAGTATTTTTCTGAATGGTTTCATAAGATGTAAATCTGCTTGAGTGATTAAAAAGACTAGTCACATATTACTTTTATTAAAATTACTTGAAGAGTTAATGTTAACCTAAATAATATTAGATTGCTTTTCTTCACATGTTTGTTTATTTATTTACAAGATTTTTAAAGCCACGTTACCAATGGTCTCTGAGCGGTGTACAACAATATAAAAACTATAGAAAAACATTAAAACCATTAAAATAGGCAATATTATAATATGCTATATTAAAGCAGTCAATTTATCACATCTTTCAGGGATGGCACCTTCAGAAGGGCCTCCTGGCCTGATCTTAGAGTATGGGCAGGCTCGTCCCATACCAGTTCTAACTGGTACCTAAAAGACTGCCTTCTTCCCATTGAAGAAGGCGCTCCTTTAGGTAACCAGGTCTTAAGTTGTTTAGGGCTTTATGTGTCAGAGTAAGCACTTTGAATTGGGCCTGAGCAGCAACTGGAAGCCAGTGTAAATTTTTCAGAACTGGCGTGATATGAGTCCGTGCAGCGGCACCACTTACCAGCCACGCAGCCTGGTTCTGTGCCAGTTGCAGTCATTGGACTGTCTGCAAAGGCTGCCCCACATATAGCACATTGTAGTAGTCCAGTCTGGTTGTTACCAGTGCATGTGTGACTGTTGACAGGCTCCGCTCAGTCGGGTAAGGGTGAAGTTGATATATTCTCCGCATCTGTAAGAAGGCACCCCTGGACACCGAGTCCACCTGGGCTTCCAAGGTCAGACCCAGGTCAAGGAGCACCCCCAAGCTGTGGACTCTGTCCTTTAGGGGGAGCGTAACCCCTTCTAGGACAGGGAAATGGCCCTTTAACCTATCTGGCGGAGCACCTACCAGCAGCACTTCCAACTTGGCTCGATTGAAACTCAGTTTATTGACCCTCATCCAGTCCATTATCGAGTCTAGACATGAGTTCAGAATGTTGACTGCCACACCTGGATTGGTAGTGAGAGGTAGAGCTGGGTGTTGTCAGTATATGTTGACTCCTCAGCCCAAACCTACTAATGACCTCCCTCAGTGGTTTCATGTGGATATTGAATAACATGGGGGACAGTGTAGAGCCCTGTGGAACCCCATGATGCAACTGCCATGGATCAGAACTACTGCCCCCCAGCACCACCTTCTGGACCCGATCAGGTAGGAGTGGAACCACCATAAAATGGTGCCTCCCATTCCAGTCAATCTGTCCAGAAGGACCCCATGATAGACTGTGTCGAAAGCCGCTGAGAGGTCCAGGAGAATCAACAGGGATGCATTCCACCTGTCTCTCTCCCAGCAAAGGCAATCAAACAGGGTGATCAAGGCAGTCTCTGTCCCATAAAATGGATCTAGATAATCCATTTCATCCAGGAGAGCCTTTAATAATGTTTTATAATGACATGCAGTTTGTCACAAGTTTCCAGTAACAGATGTCTTGCTTGGTAGCATGGTCTAGAGGGGCGGGGTAAAAATCAAATAGATAGGTAGGTAGGTAGGTAGGTAGGTAGGTAGGTAGGTAGGTAGGTAGGTAGGTAGGTAGGTAGGTAGGTAGGTAGGTAGGTAGGTAGGTAGGTAGGTAGGTAGGTAGGTAGGTAGGTAGGTAGGTAGATAGATAGATAGATAGATAGATAGATAGATAGATAGATAGATAGATAGATAGATAGATAGATAATATGCAGCTATGACTTTAATAATTATTTAATACTTAAATGCTTAGAGTTGTAATGTCTTGAGGTGAGTAATCGTTAAAACAAGACTGAGATTGGCCAGTGTTACTTAGATGCTGAAGATTGTGAGTAATGAAACGGTAGTTTGCTTGAGGTTACTGAGTTTTACTGTTGGGATGAGATTTTAATTTGGGCATCCAGTTTGACTACTCATTCTAACTATTCTTATCTTTTCCACCCTGCGTGTACCCTTTTTTAAAGTATCATAATCCTAAAGAAGCTAATCAGTTGTGTTTGTATGTGTTCAGTTGAAGTTCACTGAAATACAAAAGTATATAAAAGAAAATAGAAGTGTGTTTACTGAGTTATTGATGAAAACAAGTGTAGTTCCAAAGTTCTTGCTATTGCTAGTAGAATTACTAGCCTTGATTTTCTTGATTATGTTATAGAAGAATCAGTGTAAAAATTGGGAGAGCCCTTTTTAATATCTATATAAATCATTCAAAGCTCACAACTTTGGCTTGGGATTTTTTTCATTAAAATTGTTGATTTTATCTATCTATCTATCTATCTATCTATCTATCTATCTATCTATCTATCTATCTATCTATCTATCTATCTATCTATCTATCTATCTATCTATCTATCTATCTATCTGTCTGTCTGTCTGTC